AGTGTAATATAAAAGGGGAGGTGGGATCAGGGCAGGCGGTGTTCAGTATATAATGGGGGAGGGGGGTCAGGGCAGGGCGGTGTACAGTAATAATGTGGAGGGGGTCAGGGCAGGCGTGTACAGTATATATGGGGGGAGGGGGTCCAGGGTCAGGAGCGGGGTACAGTATATAATGGGGGAGGGGTTCATGGCAGGCGGTGTACCGTATACAAAATGGGGGAGGGGGGGTCAGGGCAGGCGGTGTACCAGTATATAATGGGGGAGGGGGGGTCAGGGCAGGGGCGGTGTACAGTACAATAATAGGGGGACGGGGGGTCAGGGCCGGCGGTGTACAGTATATAATGGGGGAAGGGGGGTCAGGCAGGCGGTGTAACAGTATAATAATGGGGGAGGGGGGTCAGGGCAGGCCGTGTACAGTAGATAAAATGGGGGAGGGGTCAGGGCAGGCGTGTACAGTATATAATAGGGAAGGCAGGGAGGGGGGGTCAGGGCAGGCAAGTGTACAGTAATATAATGGGGGTAAGGGGGTCAGTGCAGGCAGTGTACAGTATAATGGGGGAGGGGTCAGGGCAGGCAGTGTACAGTATATAATGGGGGAGGGGGGGTCAGGGCAGTGTACAGATATATTGGGGGAGGGAGTCAGGGGCAGTAGGCAGCAGTATAAATAGGGGGATGGGGGGGAGGGGCAGTCAGGGCAGGCCAGGCAGTGTACAGTATATAATGGGGGAGGGGGGTCAGGGCAGGCGGTACAGTATAATAATGGGGGGGAGGGTGCCAGGGCAGGCATGTACAGTAATAATGGGGGAGAGGGTGGTCAGGGCATGCAGTGTACAGTATATAATGGGGGAGGGGGGGGTCAGGGCAGGCCAAGTGTACAGAGATATATAATGGGGAGATGGGGGTCAGAAGAGAGAGGGGCAGGCAGTGTACAGTATATAATGGGGGAGGGGGGTCAGGCAGGCAGTGGTGTACAGTATATAATGGGGAGAGGGGGGGTCAGGGCAGGCAGTGTACAGTTATTAATGGGGGAGGGGGGGGGCAAATGATGACCCTGGGTCAGGGGGGGATTCAGGCAGTTTACATAGCAGAAGCGTGGGGTCAGGGCAGGCAGTGTTACAGTATATGATTGGGCCCCAGGGGGGGGGTCAGGGCATGGCAAGATAAGATGCATGGGCCAATGAGGGGCAGGGTTCAGGGCAGGCCAAGTAAGTGACTTTCACTGCCGCCGCTTTACCAGAGGTAAGAGGGGGCCCCCCTATCCCCAACTCTGCCTCAAAATCCACCTCTCAGATGCCTATCACCCTCTGTGCGTGGTCCTCTTTGAACATCCACTTCATGGTACCGGAGCAAATGACAGCGCGACGCGACAACAACAACACAGCAGGCGGAAACTCCCTCTGACGACACTTCCGGGAAATCGCTCTCCGCTGCGGCCACCCCGGCGCCCGCCCCCTCCGCACCACACAGCTAAACTAGCGCCGATGGGCGGGGGGCTCGGCGTCAGGTGATCAGTCAGCTTGTTCGTGACGTCACTTCTCTGAGTCAGGAGAGTGTTGTCACCCTGACTGAACCCGGGGGCAGGGGCGGGAGACAAGATACAGGAGAATGATTCCCCGGTGTCACATTCTCCGCCCACAAGACTATTAACCTGCCTGTCATGGAGATCTCCCTGATTTTCCCACGTCCTGTAATATCATGACAACCATTCTTTCTCTCCAGGGAGATCACACAGCAGCGTTGTCACCCTGTGTTACTCTTCCACAGAGATCTCAACCATAGAAGGAAAAGTTGTCATCCTGTTACAGCAAGTGTAAAAAAAAGTGACAACCATGCTTGTGTGATCTCACTGTAACAAGGCACAGTTGTCATCCTATTTCAGGAAGTGGAAACAGGATGACAACCATGCTGTGTGATCTCACTGTACAAGGCAACAGTTGTCATTCTATTACAGGAAGTGGAAAACGGTGACAACGCTGCTAGTGTGATTCTCACTGTAGAAGGAAGGGTTGTTATTACAGGAAGTGGGAAATAGGGTGACAACTCTAATGTGTGATCCCACCATAGAAGGAACAGTTGTCATCTATATTACAGGTAGTGGAAAAAACGGTGACAATGCTGCTGTGTGATCTCACTGTACAAGGAACAGTTTGTCATTACAGGAAGTGGGGGAAAATAGGGTGACAACCCATGCTTGTGTGTGATATCTCACTGTACAAAAGGAACAGTTGTCATTCTTTCATTACAGGAAGTGGAAAACGGTGACAACGCTGCTGTGTGATCTCACTGTAGAAGGAAGGGTTGTTATTACAGGTAAGTGGGGTAAAATAGGGTTACGTGACAACTCTAATGTGTGATCCCACCATTAGAAGGAACAGGTTGTCATCCTATTACAGGAAGTGGAAAAAACGGTGACAATGCTGCTGTGTGATCTCACATAGAAGGAATGTTTTTTCATTTTGTGTCCATAGTTTCACATAAAAGAGCCTGGACATAAAAGCATTTTGCAGGAGGGCAGAAAACATCCATGCTGCTGTCAGGAAAGGTTTACTTTTGGCAATGGTTGAATTTTTGTCACCAGCAGGATGCAAGCTGTGACCACTGTTCCTTCTGATTTGAGAGATCACACAGCAGCGTTGCCTACCCTGTTTTTTCCACTTCTGTAATAGGATGACAAAACTGTTCCTTCTCTAGTGCGAGATCACAGAGCAGCGTTTGTCACCCTAAATTCCAATTAATTTCCGCTACAGAGGGAACCTTTATATGGGGATGCTTAGACATTGTCTAACACAGGCATGTGTCCATATAAGGGCCCTGATGTCACCAGCATCCTACCCCACCCCTTTGTTTACAGGAATGACCGGGGCCACAGCACATGTAAACAAAGGGGCGGGATGCTGGTGACATCAGGGCCCTTATATGGACACATGCCTGTGTTAGACAATGACTAAATATCTCCATATAAGGGCCCTGATGTCACCAGCATCCCGCCCCTTTGTTTACATGTGCTGTGGGCCCCGGTCATTCCTGTAAACAAAGGGGCGGGATACTGGTTTATATGGACACATACCCATGTTAGTTAATGACAAAGTATCTCCATATAAGGACCCTGATGTCACCAATATCCCGCCCCTTTGTTTACAGGAATGACCGGGGCCAATGGCACATGTAAACAAAGGGGCGGGATACTGGTGATGTCATCACCCTTATATGGACATCTGCCTATGTTAGGTAAGGACTAAATATGTCCATATAAGGGTGCCGACTTCACCAATATCCCACCCCTTTGTTTATATGTGCTGTTGGTCCAGCTCATTTCTGTAAACAAAGGGGCGGGATGCTGGTGACATCAGGGCCCTTATATGGACACGTGCCTATGTTAATGACTAAATATCTCCATATAAGGACCCTGATGTCACCAATATCCCGCCCCTTTGTTTACAGGAATGACCGGGGCCAATGGCACATGTAAACAAAGCGGTGGGATACTGGTGATGTCATCACCCTTATATGGACACATACCCATGTTAGATAATGACTATATGTCTAGATATAAGGGTGCTGGTGTCACCTATATACCGCCCCTTTGTTTACAGGAATGACCGGGGCCAATGACACATGTAAACAAAGTGGCGGGATCCTGGTGGTCAGCACCCTTATATGGAAGATATTTAGTCAATGTTTACTGTAAACACGTGTTCAGCACTGATGTCACCTATATCCCGTCCCTTTGGTTACAGGAATGACCGGGGCCAATGACACATGTAAACAAAGGGGTGGGATACCGGTGATATCATCACCCTTATATGGACACATACCCATGTTAGATAATGACTATATGTCTAGATATAAGGGTGCTGATGTCACCTATATACCGCCCCCTTTGTTTACAGGAATGACCGGGGCCAATGACACATGTAAACAAAGTGGCGGGATCCTGGTGGTCAGCACCCTTATATGGAAGATATTTAGTCAATGTTTACTGTAAACACGTGTTCAGCACTGATGTCACCTATATCCCGTCCCTTTGGTTACAGGAATGACCGGGGCCAATGACACATGTAAACAAAGGGGTGGGATACTGGTGATGTCAGCGCCCTTATATGGCCATATTTAGTCAATGTTTACTGTAGACATGTATATCCCGCCCCTTTGTTTACATGTGCAGGGGGGCGGGGAATTCTCCAGGCCGCAGTGATTGGACTAGAAAGTGGCGCCAAGTGTACGTTGTGAGGCCTGAGCTGTAATGATGGGATGAAGGGGGGTCGTCGTATGGCGGCCATACACTAGACGGGAAATCATCCTTCGGAGAGTTGGTTGGTTTTTTCGTCCCGTTATTGGGAACCAATCAGAAATCGGTAGAGATGTTTCTGAGCCGTAAAATGGAGGGAAGGTTCGGAAACGTCTGGGGAACGGACGATACATTGGAAGACGAACGCGTTTCCTGTCCGCTAACCATCGGATTCCTGACACCGCGAACGTGTGACCTGGAAGCAAAATTCAGACGATAAACGGAGTCATTTATGTCCATCGAACGATTTATCATTGGAGGTTCGGCCTGTACATGACGGCGGTGACCCCCGCTCTCACTGCCAAGCGTTCCAGACTCCGACACCCAATCCAGCGATTATCTGACTAGTGTGTGGCCAGACATATGAATGGGGGGGCTGAACCCAGACTGGGGGATGGGAGGAGGCTGAACCCAGACCGGGGGGATGGGAGGAGGCTGAACCCAGACCGGGGGGATGGGAGGAGGCTGAACCCAGACTGGAGGGATGGGAGGAAGTCCATCTGTTATAGGGTTCGCCGATTTATGGAGACTCAGCATGCTGGGACTTGTAGTTCCCCAATACCTGGGGCGTGTACCACGAGCCCCTTCCGCCTCCCTTCTGTCCGCACTACGCACTGCCTCGGCCAGGGGGCGCCGTGCGGATCATCACTTCCGGGGCAGCACCTGACAGGCGGATGTGCTTCCGGGGAAAGGCGTCTGTTACCATGGAGACGGGAGGCTGGTGAGCGCGCGGCCCGAGAGTTCCCAACTGTGTGTGATCGGGGAGAGGGTATGAGGGGGGGACACAGGAGAATGTATAGGGGGGACACAGGAGAGGGTATGAGGGGGACACAGGAGAATGTATAGGGGGGACACAGGAGAGGGTATGAGAGGGGGGGGACACAGGAGAATGTATAGGGGGGACACAGGAGAGGGTATGAGGGGGGGACACAGGAGAATGTATAGGGGGGACACAGGAGAGGGTATGAGGGGGGGACACAGGAGAATGTATAGGGGGGACACAGGAGAGGGTATGAGGGGGGGACACAGGAGAATGTATAGGGGGGACACAGGGGAGGGTATGAGAGGGGGGGACACAGGAGAGGGTATAGGGGGGACACAGGAGAGGGTATGAGGGGGGGACACAGGAGAATGTATAGGGGGACACACAGGAGAGGGTATATGGGGGGGACACAGGAGAGGGTATAGGGGGGACACAGGAGAGGGGAGGGGGGGGACACAGGAGAATGTATAGGGGGGACACAGGGGAGGGTATGAGAGGGGGGGGGACACAGGAGAATGTATAGGGGGGACGCAGGAGAGGGTATGTTGGGGGGGGGCACAGGAGAGGGTATGTTGGGGGGGACGACGACACAGGAGAGGGTATGTTGGGAGGGGGGGACACAGGAGAGGGTATGTTGGGGGGGGACACAGGAGAGGGTATGGGGGGGGGTGGACACAGGAGAATGTATAGGGGGGGACACAGGAGAATGTATAGGGGGGGGGCACAGGAGAATGTATAGGGGGGGGGCACAGGAGGGGGTATATAGAGGATTGGTGGAGAAAGGCAGAAACATTTTTAGTATTTCAGGGGGGTGTAGTGAGTCAGTGGAGCGTATACTCGGGGTGACAGGATGGTATACAGGAGAGGACCTAAACTCCATAGTATGTTGAAAAGTTGGGGTGATATGCAGAAACAAAGGTTAAAGAAGAGAGGGAGGGGTATAGGTGAGGGTGGGTAAGTATAGGAGAGGGTGGTTTTATGTGAGGGTGGGGTATAGGACAGGGTGGGGTAAGTATAGGAGAGGGCGGGGTCTAGGTGAGGGTGCGGTAGGTATAGGAGTGGGCGGGGTCTAGGTGAGGGTGCGGTAAGTATAGGAGGGCGGGGTCTAGGTGAGGGTGGGATAAGTATAGGAGAGGGCGGGGTCTAGGTGAGGGTGGGGTAAGTATAGGAGAGGGTGGGGTATAGGAGTGGGCGGGGTCTAGGTGAGGGTAGGGTAAGTATAGGAGTGGGCAGGGTCTAGGTGAGGGTGTGGTAAGTATAGGAGAGGGTGGGGTCTAGGTGAGGGTGGGGTAAGTATAAGAGAGGGTGTGGTAAGTATAGGAGAGGGTGGGGTAAGTATAGGAGAGGGTGGGGTATAGGAGTGGGCGGGGTCTAGGTGAGGGTGGGGTAAGTATAGGAGAGGGCGGGGTCTAGGTGAAGGTGGGGTAAGTATAGGAGTGGGCGGGGTATAGGAGTGGGCAGGGTCTAGGTGAGGGTGGGGTAAGTATAGGAGAGGGTGGGGTATAGGAGTGGGGGGAGTCTAGATGAGGGTGGGGTAAGTATAGGAGAGGGTGGGGTCTAGGTGAGGGTGGGGTAAGTATAGGAGTGGGCGGGGTCTAGGTGAGGGTGGGGTAAGTATAGGAGAGGGTGGGGTATAGGAGTGGGCGAGGTCTAGGTGAGGGTGGGGTAAGTATAGGAGAGGGCGGGGTCTAGGTGAGGGTGGGGTAAGTATAGGAGAGGGCGGGGTCTAGGTGAGGGTGGGGTAAGTATAGGAGAGGGTGGAGTATAGGAGTGGGCGGGGTCTAGGTGAGGGTGGGGTAAGTATAGGAGTGGGCGGGGTCTAGGTGAGGGTGGGGTAAGTATAGGAGTGGGGGGGTCTAGGTGAGGGTGGGGTAAGTATAGGAGTGGGGGGTGAGAGGTGGAACATCATTACAATGCATTGCTGTGGATTTTCTCCTTGCAGGACGCGGGGACGGTGAGGAGAAGTGACAGTTGCGGTCGCCTTACTATGGCAATCTATGAAGTGTACTCCCACCCCCATCTCATCCGGTACAGAACCAGTGTCTGCTCCAAGGCCACCATCTTCCTGATCGCAGTGCTGATCCTGACCTACATCCCTCCACTACTCGTGTCCTACCGCAGCCAAGGTGAGACTTCGCTCTCTGCTGCTGAGATCTATTACAAGTTATGATTTATGTGTAACTAAGTGTCGTCCTGCAAGGTGTATAAATAAAGTTTAGTGTGTTATTACCTGCAGAATCTGTAATGAACGCGGCGCACAGACCCGCTCTGTAATGGTTTTGCACAGAGCAGCCCCGATCCTCCTCTTCTTGGGTCCCCCACCGGCACTCTTGGCTCCTCCCTCCACTTTCTATGGGGTCACATGTGCAGGCCTGCTCCCTCCCAGCTCCGCGCACGCATTCCCCGAAAATTCAGAATGCATGTGGGCCGACAGCAGCATGCTCCCTCTGCTGTCTCTGAGCCTATGATGGAGGACCTGGAAGGTCGCGGCTCCTGTGCACATCGCTTTGTGTTCTACTCAGGTAATATATATATGGGGGGGCTGGGGGGAGGAGCTACACTCAGGTTTTTTACCTATTCTAGCAGTGAACCGAATTAAAATTCTGGTGCCGAAACGGATACCGAAAATTCAGAATGCATGTGGCCGAAAACTGCAGTGTCTGTGTATATGGGGGTGGGGAGGCTCCAATTTTTTTTTTCTACTTTCATGTATATATATATATTTTTTTTTTCAACTTATGATTTTATTGCTATCACATAGGGAACCAATAGTCCCCCATGTGATCACATATGAGTGACAGGTCCTCTTTGTAGGGGGGGGGGGTGTAGGGGAGGGAGCAGTGTATACAGGGGGGGAGGGGTGTATACAGGGAGGGAGGGTGTATACAGAGAGGGAGGGTGTATACAGAGAGGGAGGAGTGTATACAGAGAGGGGGCGGTGTATACAGAGAGGGAGGAGTGTATACAGAGAGGGAGGAGTGTATACAGAGAGGGAGGGTGTATACAGAGAGGGAGGGTGTATACAGAGAGGGAGGAGTGTATACAGAGAGGAGGGTGTAGGGGGTGTATACAGGAGGGGGAGCGGTGTATACAGGGAGGGAGCGGTGTATACAGAGAGGGAGGAGTGTATATACAGAGAGGGAGGAGTGTATACAGAGAGGGGGCGGTGTATACAGAGAGGGGGCGGTGTATACAGGGAGGGGCGGTGTATACGGGGAGGGAGGGGAGCGTATACGGGGAGGGAGGGGTGTATACGGAGAGGGAGGGGTGTATACAGAGAGGGAGGGTGTATACGGGGAGGGAGGAGTGTATACAGAGAGGGGGCGGTGTATACGGAGAGGGAGGGTGTATACGGAGAGGGAGCGGTGTATACAGAGAGGAGCGGTGTATACGGGGAGGGAGCGGTGTATACAGAGAGGGGCGGTGTATACAGGAGGAGGGTAGCGGGTGTATACAGGAGGGAGCGGTGTATACAGAGAGGGAGCGGTGTATACAGAGAGGGAGGAGTGTATACAGAGAGGGAGCGGTGTATACAGAGAGGGAGCGGTGTATACAGAGAGGGGCGGTGTATACAGAGAGGGAGCGGTGTATACAGGGAGAGGAGCGTGTGTATACAGGGAGGGAGGAGTGTATACGGGGAGGGGAGCGGTGTATACAGGGGAGGAGCGGTGTATACGGGGAGGGAGCGGTGTATACGGGGAGGGAGCGGTGTATACAGAGAGGGAGCGGTGTATACAGTGAGGGAGCGGTGTATACGGAGAGGGAGCGGTGTATACAGAGAGGGAGGGTGTAGCGGTGTATACGGGGAGGGAGGGAGCGGTGTATACAGAGAGGGAGCGGTGTATACGGGGAGGGAGCGGTGTATACAGAGAGGAGCGGTGTATACGGGAGGGAGCGGTGTATACGGGGAGGGAGCGGTGTATACAGGGAGGAGCGGTGTATACGGGAGGGGCGGTGTATACGGGGAGGGAGCGGTGTATACGGGGAGGGAGCGGTGTATACAGAGAGGGAGCGGTGTATACAGAGAGGAGCGGTGTATACGGGGAGGGAGCGGTGTATACGGGGAGGGAGCGGTGTATACGGGGAGGGAGCGGTGTATACAGGGAGGGAGCGGTGTATACGGGAGGGAGCGGTGTATACGGGAGGGAGCGGTGTATACGGGGAGGGAGCGGTGTATACGGGGAGGGAGCGGTGTATACAGGGAGGAGCGGTGTATACGGGAGGGAGCGGTGTATACGGGGAGGGAGCGGTGTATACGGGGAGGGAGCGGTGTATACAGGGGAGCGGTGTATACGGGAGGGAGCGGTGTATACGGGGAGGGAGCGGTGTATACAGAGAGGAGCGGTGTATACGGGGAGGGAGCGGTGTATACGGGGAGGGAGCGGTGTATACAGAGAGGAGGGTGTATACGGGGAGGGAGCGGTGTATACGGGGAGCGGTGTAGGAGCGGTGTTACTTTCCCCCAGCGAAAGGAAACTGTTTCTTTTATCTCAGGAAATAAACGAAAAGGAAACATTGTTTCTTTTAGCTGGAGGGAAAGTGACAGCGGATTCTCTCAGTTATAGTGAAGAAAAAAAAAACCCGGTAATTACTTTTAAAAACCGGCGCTGACCTATAGTGACAGCCAATCACTGTATACACTCCTCCTCTCCTGCCTTTCCCCCCGCCACCCCCTCACACACCTGCAGTACACACAGTCCCCTGCATCGGCACCTGTATCGGCTAAGTTTTTCCTATCGGCACAATGGCGATGGGGCTACGTTCAGCCGATATGTTTTGGTGGCCAAACTTTCTGTGCATCCCTGCTTAATACAGGTAACAAAACCCCTTCAGCCTCTAAAAGGACGGTAAGTCGGAGTTACATTCATGGCTTAGTATGTGCCGGATTTGGTGACACACACGTGTTCCCTCTCATGTACTTTCATCTTCTGTAGGATTCTGGTTGAAGCGAAGCACATACGAGGAGCAGCCCAATGTTCGGTTCCAGTACCAGGTTTTACTGATCGCCGTGAACAGTACCAGTGGAAGTTACGTGGCTTGGAGCACATTTCAGCATTTCAACAGCCTGATAGGAGAGAGGCTGCGGATTCCTCTGGTTTCGGTACGTCGCGCAGTCGCTGTGCCCGCTGTTCGCATTTGTAGAAGAGCAATGAAAGCTTTGCACATGGAGAAAGCAATTTACGTTCCGTGGCGATCGGGCTTCAGGCTTTGTCAAAGTCACTTTCTTAACCACTTCCTGTCCGGCCCATGTACATAAAGGGCCGGACAGGAGCGCTGCCAGAGCGGGTGGACGTTTCTAAATTTCCCCCCGCATCCACTGCCTGTGCCCGCTCCCTGGGACACAGCGGAACCCCGATCGCTGTACGGGACCTCTGTGTGAGGTCCCGATCATGTGATCACCGATTGGCCAATCAGTGATCACAGGAACAGTAGTAAACAAGATGTCACTTCCTGACATCATTGCTTACTACGTGTGAAATCTGTGAATGATCACCGAGATCACATGGTACAGGGCCATTCACAACAGCCTCGTACCATGTGACAAGCTGTGAACAATCACAGCTCATACAGTATTTCTCAATGGCTGCAGGAATGCAGCCAGAGAGAAGGAGAAATGATTGCTTTTACAGACTTTATAGGTGTAAAAGCAATCAGTGTAAAAAAAAAAAAAAAAAATCTTCATCACCCCCCACAAGTAGTACAGTGTCACTATGGTGACACTGTACCGCTAGGGTGACAGTATGTAAAAAAAAAAAACCATAAATAATAATATAAAAAAAAAAAATAAAAATGTAAAATTTCTTTAAAAAAAAATAAAATTTTTGGTTATAAACTATTTTGGGTTACTTTTTTTTTTTTTTTGCTAAAAAGATAACGGAATACATTTTGGCCAAGATTTATGATGAAATATTATTTATTTGCAAAATTTTATAAGAAAAACACTTTTTTTTTCAAAATTTTGGGACTTTTTCATTTATATAGCAAAAAAAAATAAAAATCCCAGCGGTGAATAAATACCACCAAAATAAAAGCTTTATCTGTCTCACATCCTGACATCATTGCTTACTACTTGTGAAATCTGTGAATGATCCCCGAGATCACAAGGTACAGGGCTATTCACAACAGCCTTGTACCATGTGACAAGCTGTGACCAATCACAGCTCTCACAGTATTTCTCAATGGCTGCAAGAATGCAGCCAGAGAGAAGGAGAAATGATTGCTTTTACAGCCTTTATATATATATAACACAGGTGAAAGTTCTCAGACATTTGCTTCGTTTGGTGTTTACAGTTGAACGGGCTGCTCTTTCCTGTTTTGTAGGCTCGTGAAGAGGACAGCAACCAAGATGGTAAAATGGACCGGCTGAATTTCAGATTGGAGCTTCCCCTGCTGCCCACAGAGAACGTGTACGGGGTGCAGCTTATTCTGACCTTCTCATACCAGCTCTATGTACGTAGACTGATCATACCATGGACTTTCTGACCTTCTCATACCAGCTCTATGTACGTAGACTGATCATACCATGGACTTTTCTGACCTTCTCATACCAGCTCTATGTACGTAGACTGATCATACCATGGACTTTCTGACCTTCTCATACCAGCTCTATGTACGTAGACTCATCATACCATGGACTTTCTGACCTTCTCATACCAGCTCTATGTACGTAGACTGATCATACCATGGACTTTCTGACCTTCTCATACCAGCTCTATGTACGTAGACTGATCATACCATGGACTTTCTGACCTTCTCATACCAGCTCTATGTACGTAGACTGATCATACCATGGACTTTCTGACCTTCTCATACCAGCTCTATGTACGTAGACTGATCATACCATGGACTTTCTGACCTTCTCATACCAGCTCTATGTACGTAGACTGATCATACCATGGACTTTCTGACCTTCTCATACCAGCTCTATGTACGTAGACTCATCATACCATGGACTTTCTGACCTTCTCATACCAGCTCTATGTACGTAGACTGATCATACCATGGACTTTCTGACCTTCTCATACCAGCTCTATGTACGTAGACTGATCATACCATGGACTTTCTGACCTTCTCATACCAGCTCTATGTACGTAGACTGATCATACCATGGACTTTCTGACCTTCTCATACCAGCTCTATGTACGTAGACTGATCATACCATGGACTTTCTGACCTTCTCATACCAGCTCTATGTACGTAGACTCATCATACCATGGACTTTCTGACCTTCTCATACCAGCTCTATGTACGTAGACTGATCATACCATGGACTTTCTGACCTTCTCATACCAGCTCTATGTACGTAGACTGATCATACCATGGACTTTCTGACCTTCTCATACCAGCTCTATGTACGTAGACTCATCATACCATGGACTGGACTAAATAAGCGGTTTTTTTAATATAACCTCAGGACACCTTCCAAAATACCCAGAATGCACTGAAAAACAGTAAAAAATTAACAATTTCAGACATTTTGAAAGAAATAGAGAGAGCAGGAGCAGAGAGAGCAGTATGTGTTGAGATGACCTGTCTTTTCTGGTTGTAGTCACTATGGATCCCATCATGAGCATAGTGCGGCACGTTCTACCATTTCACGCCAAACCTGGACCTGACTGCGCGGGTGTACCGGTGTATAGAATAATTGATAAAACACATGAAAAGTGTGGTAACATATAACAGCCAATCATTTCTCCTTGTTCCATCTGATCAGAATTGATTGGTTCTCGAGTCACTGCTCAGTTATGTGTCGACAGATCTTCCATCTTCACTCGGTCCTTCATCCGGGTTCATGGGCTTGGGTTGCTTGCGCGCGGGAGAAACTCATTTACGGCACACAGCTCTGAAGGAACGGCACGGGCATGCTGTACCTTCAGGGCCTCTACCAAGTCTACAGAATCTCTCCTACACAGTGGATGATGAGGAGATATTGACAGTACCCAGCGGTGCATTTAGGTTTTTTGCTGCCCTAGGCAACACAAAAATCAGATGCCCCCCCCCCCCCAGCGGAGAGAGCCAACCAACACTAGACCCCCTATCCCCCCCCCCTGAGAGAGCCTGAATCTGACCCCCCCCCCCCCCCCACACGCCTGAGAGAGCCGTCCACTTTTCAACTAGCACCCCTCCCAGCAACAGGGAGAAAGACACTCACTTTCACAGCTCCGGACATCCCTGAGAGCAAGAGTCGGGCTCTGCAAACACCATCAAGCAGCCTCTTTCTGATCCCATCTGGTCCCCATGCCGCATATGTCCCTTCTTTCTGAAGGGGGTGCTGCCCCCCCTGAAAAATGCCGCCCTAGGCAAATGCCTTGTTTGCCTTGTGGTAAATACACCCCTGACAGTACCTACAGGTTAGCCTTGTTATAGGCTTTCTGTAACGCAACCGACCCAGACTGCGCTTGAGAACGTCCGTTAGAATACCGCTTCCCCGTCCGAACACCAACCACGGACACCACCACCGACCATACAAGACTAGACGACACCAATCTGTCCAAACACCGACCACTGACACCACCGCTGACCATACAAAACTAGACGACACCAGTCTGTCCGAACACCGACCACTGACACCACCGCTGACCATACAAAACTAGACGACACCAGTCTGTCCGAACACCGACCACTGACACCACCGCTGACCATACAAGACTAGACGACACCAATCTGTCCAAACACCGACCACGGACACCACCACCGACCATACAAGACTAGACGACACCAATCTGTCCAAACACCGACCACTGACACCACCGCTGACCATACAAGACTAGACGACACCAGTCTGTCCGAACACCGACCACGACACCACCACCAACCATACAAGACTAGACGACACCAATCTGTCCGAACACCGACCACCCGGACACCACCACCGACCATACAAGACTAGACGACACCAATCTGTCCGAACACCGACCACTGACACCACCACCAACCATACAAGACTAGACGACACCAATCTGTCCGAACACCGACCACAGACACCACCACCGACCATACAAGACTAGACGACACCAATCTGTCCGAACACCGACCACTGACACCAAGCTGACCATACAAGACTAGACGACACCAGTCTGTCCGAACACCGACCACTGACACCACCGCTGACCATACAAAACTAGACGACACCAGTCTGTCCGAACACCGACCACTGACACCACCGCTGACCATACAAAACTAGACGACACCAGTCTGTCCGAACACCGACCACTGACACCACCGCTGACCATACAAAGCTAGACGACACCAGTCTGTCCGAACACCGACCACTGACACCACCGCTGACCATACAAAACTAGACGACACCAGTCTGTCCGAACACCGACCACGGACACCACCACCGACCATACAAGACTAGACGACACCAATCTGTCCGAACACCGACCACTGACACCACCGCTGACCATACAAAACTAGACGACACCAATCTGTCCAAACACCGACCACTGACACCACCGCTGACCATACAAAACTAGACGACACCAGTCTGTCTGAACATGGAACTCTATTTTTAAACTCAAGCGGGCTTTTTATACAATACACACTGAGACTGATCACACGATCATACAATACACACTGAGAATGATCACACGATCATGCAATACACACTGAGACTGATCACACGATCATACAATACACACTGAGACTGATCACACACGATCATACAATACACACTGAGACTGATCACACGATCATACAATACACACTGAGACTGATCACATGATCATGCAATAAATACACACTGAGAATGATCACACGATCATGCAATACACACTGAGACTGATCACACGATCATGCAATACACACTGAGAATGATCACACGATCATGCAATACACACTGAGACTGATCACACGATCATGCAATACACACTGAGAATGATCACACGATCATGCAATACACACTGAGACTGATCACATGATCATGCAATACACACTGAGACTGATCACATGATCATGCAATACACACTGAGAATGATCACACGATCATGCAATACACACTGAGACTGATCACATGATCATGCAATACACACTGAGACTGATCACAGTTAGTTAGTTGGGATGGAGGTTGTTTGTGACAGGTCCACTTTATTTGGTTATTTCCTGAGTTTGCCGTTCTTCTAAAACACTGCATATCTATGATTCTTTCAGAGGATGTCTACATTTGTAATGCAGAGCATGGCATTCATTCAGCATGCGTCTCCACTTCCTGGAGCCCAGCTTTACATCAACGGAGACCTGAGATTACAACAGAGACAGCTGCTGAGACACCAGGGCCTGGACACCACCTACAATGTGAGAATAAACCTGACCCAGAAAAGGGCAACAGTCAGCCCGGGTTCACACTGATGCGGTGCAGAATTTGCAGCGTTTTCAATGCGAATTCCGCACCGCATCAGAATCGCACCCCGTTCATGGGAACCGCTGTGGGTGTGTATGCTAACCACTTCGCGCTGGCGCCTCCCGGCCCTTTAAGAGTTTTAGAAGCTGGGAGGCGGGCGGGGTTTTAGGGTCATGTGACTGCCGTGATTCGGTGTCACAATGGTCACATGATCGGAAAAGGTCCCGAACAAAAGGGGAGATTGGGACCTTTCCATGAGGCAAGGACATATGTGCTGTGAGCTCGCAGGGCGGGATGTCACTGAGAGCCCCGGGTCCCGTTCTAACAATCGGGACCCGGGACTCCCAAATCTGGGTCACATGATCACTGTGATAGTCTCTGATTGGCTATCACTGTGAAGCCCGCCCCCCTTGGGTTCTTTTTCTCTTCGAATGGAGGAGAGAGATACATTGTATCTCTATCTCCTTGCAGAGGGAAAAAAAAAAACTTTGTGAAAAAAAAAAAAATAAAGAAGTATTTAAAAAAATAAAGAAAAAATACCTAGATCAAGGTTTCATCTAGTTTAGTGCCAGGGTTAGTGTTTGGGTCAAAGGTTAAAGTTAAAGGTCAGGATTAAAAAAAAAATTTGTCAGTATTTTAAGCAAAAAAAACCCAAAATGCGCACTATTGTTTCTGGGCTGTACTCCGGGTACAAATAACATCCACATAGATGGTATCACTGCGAGCGTCAAGAGCTGGAGAATTTATTTTTTGGTTGCTCTTTGGTGGTAGGTTATGGTAGTAACAAGAAACGCACAGCTAAATTAAAAAACAAAATGATTTTTTTTACTATTTTGGGCCAGTTTTTCAATGATAATAAAAAATCAAGAGATATCTGTTACCATTTACCACCAAATAAAAGCCCAATTTGTCCTGAAACAAACGCGGTATAATCCACCCGGATGTACAAAGTAGTTGTGACGATACGGACGGTTTTACTAACACATGTCAACGTTGCAAAATTGTGCTTAGGCATTTAGTTTTGTTTTACCCTCAGGGCAGGAAGGGGTTAATAAGTCAGCAAGACACGGCGCAGTTCACCTTTCTAAGTGTTGATCAGATTAGGCCATCATTGTACTATAACTGCTCACACTGCTGTTTTTCATTCGGTAGATTTCCATAATCAATGGTTCCAGCCCGTATGCAAGCTCTTATGACCTCACAAACATCCTATCATCCTATCAGGAGAGGAACGGTAAGTCCAGAAATTTTTTTGCAGCCAAAGAGGCGAAGTATGCAAAAAAATTGCAAGCTCCTCCATTTATAACTACCCTTTGCAGTACGGTGCGCACGGAAAGGGCAACACACATCCCAAACAAACGAACAAACGATTTCCCAGCGCACTTACCAGCCAGCCGCAAAACAACCAGATTGACCCTTTCTAACAATTTAGAGGGTTTTGTTTGCACATATTTTGCAAATGAATGCATAAGCCGCAGTGGCCTCATCAAGGCACCTCTGTATACTGCGGTCCCAACTCTGGAATTTTAAGAGTCTCCAAAGTTGGAGCATATATAGCAGTGGGTAGTTTAACCACTTGACCGCCAGAAGATTTACCCCGCCCCCGCTTCCTGACCAGGCCATTTTTTGCGATATGGCACTGCATTATGTTAACTGTCACTTGCGCGTTCATGTAATGCTGTACATAACTGAAATGTATGTCATTTTTCCCCACAAATAGAGCTTTCTTTTGATGATCTCCTCTTGGTTTTTTTTTTTTATTTTTTGCGCTAAAAACAAAAAAAAGATAAAACATTTTGAAAAAAAAAAACAATATTTTCTACTTTCTGCTATAAAACATATCCAAAAAAACTAAAAATTTTAACAAATCAAATTACTTCATAAATGTAGGCCATAATGTATTCTGCCGCATATTTTTTTTGTGAAAACAATCCCAATAACTGTATATTGATTGGTTTGCGCAAAGGTTAGCTTCTACAAACTATGGAATATATACAGGAATTTATTTTTTTTCATTTGTTTATACTAATAATGGCAGCGATCAGCGACTTACAGGGACTTGTGGTGGACAATCCGGCACTATCTGACACTTTGTGGGAACCAGTGACGCTAATACAGTGATCAATGCTAAAAATATACACTGATCACTGTACTAATGACACTGGGTGGGAAGGGGTTAAACATCCAGGGGTTAACTGTGTGCCTAGCTAAGTGTAATGGGCACTGTGTGTGCTGCTTTCATTAGGTAATGTGCTGGATTCTATTCCCTGCTCTGCAGGGAAAGAAAATCCAGAAAGTCACTGCTGACAGGATACAGCTGTGCCTTGTTTATTATTATTATACAGGATTTATGGCGCCAACAGTTTGCTCAGCGCTTTACAATATAATGGGAGACAATACAGCAACAATACAGTTCAATACAAGAGGGTTAGGAGGGCCCTGATCCTGGGAGCTGACAATCTAAGAGGGAGGGGCTAGTGGTACAAAAGGTAGTAACTGTGGGGGATGGACTGGTAGGAAGAGTAGAAGATTCCATTATTAGCTGAGGGCAGGATAGGCTTCCCTGAAGAGAGAGGTTTTCAGAGATCGCCTAAAAGTGGGCAGAGTGGGTGATAGTCTGATAAATTGGGGTAGAGGGTTCCAGAGGATGGGGCAAGCTCTGGAGAAGTCCTGCAGGACAAGCATGGGAGGAGGAGACAAGGGAGCTAGAGAGCAGGAGGTCGTGCGAGGAGCGGAGAGGACGGTTTGGGTGATATTTGGAGACAAGATTGGTGATGTAATTTGGGGCGGAGTTATAATTGGCTTTATATGTTATTGTTAATGTTTTAAATTTTATTCGTTGGGGAAGCAACGGGAAGCCAGTGGAGGAGGCAGATTGGCAGATTGGATGAGGGAGAGGTGGTGGATGGAGGACAGACACTGAGTGGAGGCCAGTGGAGGGATTGGCAGAGAGGGGTGGAGGACACTGAGTGGAGGTCAGTGGAGGGATTGGCAGAGAGGGGGGTGGAGGACACTGAGTGTGGAGTCAGTGGAGGGATTGGCAGAGAGGGGGTGGAGGACACTGAGTGGAGATTGGCAGAGAGGGGTGGAGGACACTGAGTGGAGGCCAGTGGAGGGATTTTAATGTGATTTGTTAGAAAGCACCAAGTTGGTTGTTTTGCAGGCTGGCTGGTAAGTGTGCTGGGAAGTCTTTTGTTTGGCAAAGAGGAGAAGTGTAAGAATCTCTGGTGTAGGAACTATTGAATGGATTTTATCTCACCTCCTGTCCCTTTGGGTCGCGCTGTGCGTGTTTGAAAGCCTTTGTTTGGGGAATGATGTTTTGTGTCATTACAGTGACCACCGTTCTGAACAACCCGAGTCCAATATGGCTTGTTGGAAGAGGTGCATCAGATCCATTTGTGGTCAGTGCGGTGATCCGATACCCTGTGGAGATCATTTCATATCCTTTTTATGATAAATAATACCCCTCAATCATCACTATTACTATATTGTTAGATGCCACAGTTACATCTTGTTCAGACCAGGGGCGGGCTGACCATTTGGAAACTCGGGTCAGTAAGGGGCCCCATGAGATGCCCCTGGTACCTTTTTTCATAGGCTTTTTTGAGTTTGGGCAAGGACACAGGGGCCCCATGATCCCCTATCATGGCTATCATCAGACTGTCACCTTCCCTCCTCACCTTCAGGCGCTCCCTGAAAACCCATCTCTTCAGGGAAGCCTACCCCACCCTCACCTAACTGCTGCTCTCCTTCATTCCTCCCACCACTCCATCCCCCACAGCCACTTCCTCCTGTACCTCTACCCCCTCCCTCCTAGATTGTAAGCTCGAAAGAGTAGGGCCCTCTTACCCCTCGTGTGCTGTTTGTAGCTGCTGTAATGTTTCATGTATTGTCCCCCCCTCTATTGTTCAGCGCTGAGCAAACCCTTTGGCGCTATATAAACTCAATGTAATGTAATGTAATATTGCCCGGGGGCCCCATGAGTTGTCAGTCCGCCCCTGGTTCAGACACTGCACATGGGTCCTTTTCCTGCATGGTTCCGGTGCCAGTAGGAAGCACACTGATTGACTAGCAATCCTTGCAGTGAAACTTAACTTTTAGGGAATTGCGAGGAGGCCGCTTTTTATTGCTATGCCTCTTCTGCAATAATACAAACTCACCTGGCTGCTCGCAGTTTTTCTGCCGAACGTACACTGAGATGCACATGCACAACCCGGTGTGCATTCCCAGCACACTTGGGCTCTGCTGAGATGACTCACTCCCATGCACATGTGCAGCATGGCGTCATACGCTGCCGGCCAATCAGGAGGCCAGAATCCTGATGCCTGGGGGGAGAGATCCCCAGTAAACTCGCCTCCACCTTCCAGTGATGCGGAGGTTACATCCGTCACGGTTACATCCGTCGCGGTTACATCCATTGTTTTACATCCGTCGCTACATCCATCGCGGTTACATCCATCGCGGTTACATCCATCGCGGTTACATCCTTCGCATCAATGGAAGGTGGAGGTGAGTTTAGTTCCACTTTAAAGCGGTTGTAAAGGTTCAAGTTTTTTTGTTTACCTTCTTGCATTCTATGCATGAATGTAAAAAAACCTTCTGTGTGCAGCAGTGCCCCCCAGCACCCTTAATACTTACCTGAGCCCCATCGTGCGGTGCAGCAGTGTGCACACCAAGGCTGTCCCGGGTCTCTGCTTCCTCGTTGGCTGAGACAGCAAGGGCTCATTGGCTCCCACTGCTGTCAATCACAGCCAATCAGCCAATGAGGGAAAGGAGGCGGAGCCAATCTGCGTGCTATGTTGGCACCCGCAGAAAGGAGGAGCCAGGAGAGCCTGCAGAGGACCCAAGAAGAGGAGGATCCGGGCTGCTCTGTGCAAAACCATTACACAGAGAAGGTAAGTATGATGTGTTTGGTATTTTACCAAAAAAACAAAAATTGAACCTTTGGTATCACTTTAAGTTAGCAGACACCTTTACCATGATTGATGGCTGGTAACCTCTGTAACTGTGTCTGCTACTGACCACTCGATGGTGAGGGGGGTTAAACAGGGAGTACAGGGCAATTTTTTGTGTGTGTGTTGGGGGGGGGGGGGGGGGGGGTGATTAGGGATTCATGTAGGGCAAAATCTGTTTATAGGGCAGCGGATGTGACTTTCACCAAACATTGTAAACATGAACAATCAATTACTACCATTTAAACTCATGGACCTTGAGGATTCACTGCAAAGAATGTTTGTTGAATGTCATATTCACCGATTTATCAATATTAGATACATTTACATATTAGATATTAGGACATTTCATAAAATTGCATGGTGCAAAATCTGGTGTAGCTCTGCATAGTAACCAATCCGCTTCCAGGTTTTATTGTCAAAGCTTAACCCCTTGACGCCGACATAACACAAATATGCGGCCTCACAGAACTGGGCTTTTTTCCGTGTGGCCCTCACAGCACACTCCCAGCACAAAGACCTCGGTGTCACCGAGAGCCCCGGGTCCCGTTCTAACTATCGGGACCCGGGACTCCCGATTCCGGGTCACACGATCACTGTGATAGCCTCTGATTGGCTATCACAGTGAACAGTCACTATATAGCCCGGCCCCCTAGTTTTTTTTCTCTCTCTATGAATGGAGGAGATACATTTCATCTCTCTAACTCCTGGCATAGAGGGAAAAAAATTTTTGTAAAAAAGCCAAGAAAAAATAAAGAAATATTAAAAAAATTAAGAAAAAAATACCTAGATCAAGGTTTGATCTAGTTCAGTGCCAGGGTTAGTGTTTGGGTCAAGGTCAGGGTCAAAGGGCAATGTTAAAAGCTCAGGGTCAAAGGTCAGGATTTAAAAAAAAAAAAATTTGGTATCAGTGTCAGTTATTGTCTCTGGGCTGTACTCCGGGTACAAACAACAAATAACATACACATATATGGGATCGCTGCGATCGTCAAGAGCTGGAGAATTTATTTTGGTTTGTTCTTTGGTGGTAGGTTATGGTAGTAACAAGAAACACACAGCTAAAGTAAAAGAAATTATTATTTTTTTACTATTTTGGGACAGTTTTCCTTGGATGATAAAAAAAAATCAGGAGATATCCATTATCATTTACCACCAAATGAAAGCCCAATTTGTCCTGAAACAAACGCGGTATAATCCACCTGGATGTACGAAGTAGTTGTGATGATATTTACGGTTTTACTAACACATGTCAACGTTGCAAAATTGTGCTTAGGCATTAAGATTTGTTTTACCCTCAGGCGTGAAGGGGTTAATTGAACAAGCTGAAGTTAGAAGCTGATTGGCTGCCATGCACGGCTGCACCAGATTTTGCACTTTCTAGTTTTGGTAAATCTCCCCCTTTTATATCTTGGTGAAATTTAGGAAAGCTTTCCAGTGTGCACTTTTTTTTTTTTTGTGCACTGAATGTTCTGCACCACAAAATAATGGCACCGTGGTTCCAAAATGAAAAGCAAACACGCCCTGCACCATCGGGGCTACTTGAGGACGGGTTTGTAGCCTTCACTGCCCCAAGGTCATCGTTACATGCCAAGTCTGTTTTGTATCTGAGAAATGGTCACCAAATGTTTCTCGTGTTACATTCATTTCCTCCTCCACTTCCTTTCCTTTTTATTCCATGTGAATTCCCTCTGGGAATTGATACCAGTTGTGTCCTTAATAAATCTGCACATATCAGCCTGGATTTTGGGAAATGATTAAATTCGGCTGGGTTCAGTATGTCAGCGTCCTGCTCATCTTCCTCTGGGTCTTCGAGAGGGTGAAAATCTTCGTCTTTCAGAACCAGGTCCTCACTACAGTCCAGTCTCTACCTTCGTCCTTATTCAAGCAGCACCAGAGCTAACCTAGCTGCTTAAAAGGCTGGTACCCATTGAAGGTGCTCCTCGGTACAGATGTCCACGTAGGGCTTGACTTTGGTTAAAGGACCACTATACCAAAAATGTTTTCTGATATGCACTGCATAGGCTGAGTTAGAAATATTCCCAACTGTGTAAGAAAAAGTCCCCGTACCTCTACAAAAACCTTTTTATTTTTTCGGTGCAACCCGTTGCTCTGTATTTTGCTGCTGGTAGAAGTGAAAGAAGACAAGGAGAATGATAGTTGGTCATCATCATATAGGGCTAGATGGCTGCCTTCAATACAACTTGGGTTTTAAATGGAGTCACATCTATACTATGGGTGGGAGCAGACAGAACACAGTCCCTTAAAGATATCTTCAAATAGATTGACATTCCTTGCAGAGCTCCTCAGAAGCTCAGAAAGACACATTGCTCTATTGTGCAAATATTGACTTTCTGAATTCCTGTCCTTGAGAATTGCAACCCTGAGAGTTGGCCTGTCCCAGGGTTTCAAAGTCTAAGAGCTGGCTTACCTCCAAGTGTTGATATTTAAACTCTGGTCTGCTTCCATGTATCAAAGTCTGAGAGCTGGCCTACCCCCACGTTTCAAGGCCTGAGAGCTGGCCTACCCCCACGTTTCAAGGCCTGAGAGCTGGCCTACCCCCACGTTTCAAGGCCTGTGAGCTGGTTTCAAGGCCTACCCTACCCCCACGTTTCAAGGCCTGAGAGCTGGCCTACCCCCACGTTTCAAGGCCTGAGAGTTGGCCTACCCCCACGTTTCAAGGCCTGAGACCTGGGCTACCCCCGCGTTTCAAGGTCTGAGAGCTGGCCTACCCCCACGTTTCAAGGTCCGAGAGCTGGGCTACCCCCGCGTTTCAAGGTCTGAGAGCTGGCTTACCCCCACGTTTCAAGGTCCGAGAGCTGGCCTACCTCCAAGTATCAAGGCCTGAGAGCTGGCCTACCCCCACGTTTCAAGTCTTGAGTACTAGCCTGTCCCTAGGTTTTAACAGCTGGCCTGCTCTCGATCTTCACAGTCTGAAAGCTGGCCTTTTCTGAGCTTTGAAGTTCAAAAGCTGGCCTACCCTGAGTTTCAAAGTCCCGAGAGTTCCCTGGTCTTCCCACCTAGTCTTGAAGTCTGAGTGCTAAACTGCCCCTGAGTTATGGATTCTGAGAGCTGGCCTGCCCCCAAGTATCAAAATCTGATTGCTGGGTTGTCCCCAAGTATCAAAGTTTGAGAGGCTGCCCTGCCCCCTGTTATCAAAGTCTGAGAGCTGGCCTGAACTAAAGTATCGAAGTCTGAGAACTGGTCTACCCCCTAGTCTTGAAGTTAGAGTGCAGACCTGCCCCTGGGTTATGGATTCGTAGAGCTGGCCTGCCCTCAAGTATCGAAGTCTGAGAAGCTGGCCTACCCCCAGGTATCAAAGTCTAAGAAACTGGCCTATCCCCAGGTATCAAAGTCTAAGAAGCTGGCCTACCCCCAGGTATCAAAGTCTAAGAAGCTGGCCTACCCCCAGGTATCGAAGTCTGAGAAGCTGGCTACCCCCAGGTATCGAAGTCTGAGAAGCTGGACTACTCCCAGGTATCGAAGTCTGAGAAGCTGGACTACTCCCAGGTATCGAAGTCCGAGAAGCTGGCCTACCCCCAGGTATCGAAGTCCGAGAAGCTGGCCTACCCCCAGGTATCGAAGTCTGAGAAGCTGGCCTACCCCCAGGTATCGAAGTCTGAGAAGCTGGCCTACCCCCAGGTATCGAAGTCTGAGAAGCTGGCCTACCCCCAGGTATCGAAGTCTGAGAAGCTGGCCTACCCCCAGGTATCGAAGTCTGAGAAGCTGGCCTACCCCAGGTATCGAAGTCTGAGAAGCTGGCCTACCCCCAGGTATCGAAGTCTGAGAAGCTGGCTACCCCCAGGTATCGAAGTCTGACAAGCTGGCCTACCCCCAGGTATCGAAGTCTGACAAGCTGGCCTACCCCCAGGTATCGAAGTCTGACAAGCTGGTCTACCCCCAGGTATCGAAGTCTGACAAGCTGGCCTACCCCCAGGTATCGGAAGTCTGACAAGCATGTCTGCTCCCAAGTATAGAAGTCTTTAAAGGCTGGTATGCCCCCTATATTCAGAATCTAAGACTTGGACTGCCCCCAGGTTTTGAAGTCAGGGACCTGAGCTGCCCCCTCCCAGCTCCTGCACCTTACTGTTGCCAGGGAGACTAAGCATACCACTTGCAAGGGAAAAACGTATTTTATGAAAATGATATATATTGTGTATTGTGGTCCTCATAGAATTCCTTCAGTCTTACTCTAGAGCTGTGACAATCCAGACTTCACGTATGCTAAGCCATAAAACAGCTAAAGATTCTATTTTTCTATATATTAATATATTGGTGGGGTGCGTGTTCCAGTGGTTTCTACACATCTCTGGGACTCCGGAGGCGAGCTTTTCTTAGTGAAGTTCCTGGAAACGAAGGAAGGGAATCTCACTCCTTCAAATGCAATATTCAAACTCAAAATGTAAAACTCAGAACTCTTTTGCTGTCTGTGTCCCCAGCTGAGGAGATTCACTGTCTTTGGTATAAAAAATGGAAGGCCATCAACGACAGCCCACTTGTTTGCATGTTGTCACCAGTGGGTCCTCATGACAACCAGTCAATTAGCATTTTCAAAGGGACGTCATCAACGACAGCCTACCTGCAAATAAGTAGGCTATCGGTGATGACGTCCCTTTGAAAATGCTAATTGCCTGGTTGTCATGAGGACCCACTGGTGACACAGAAAGACTTGTGCTTTCATTCTTGGCATCCAATATTGTATAGAAAGGATAAATATGGCTCCCCAGCACCCAGAAGCAATCAACTTCCAAGTAATTGGGGCCTTTAACTCTGGCCTGTGATATCGCCAAAGGGGGCCACACATCAGGTTCAGTTTGTGTATTGCAGTGGGAGACTATGGAAATCCTAGTGGAGACTGTGGACATGCTGCAGCCGACAGAGATTTGTTCCATGGGACTGTTAAGGGCCACTTTATAAATGAACTGACTTCTGAAGTCTGAGAGCCACACAGCAAGCATGAAAGGTCCACATGTGATCCTTGGCCTTCAGATTGGGCACCAAGACTCTAATGTCTCGCTTATACGGGCGTACTGCAGCGTACAACTGCACGAGGGCCGCGTTGGTCCGCACAGGGATGCACAAGTGGTCCATGTTCCCCTTTTGCAGGAACCCCCATTCATGTCAACTGGGACACAGTGGATGCATGGACACCAATTTGATGGCACTCTTCTTTGCATCTGGGTCCGAAGGTCAAATTGGCAGCAGCGGGCTGTGTCTGTGACATCCTAATGGCCATGAATGGGACTGAATGCACGGTATACCAGTGCGGGCAAACGGCGCCCTCACATGGGGAAGGCCAAAGTGAACATGGCGAAGCGGCGCCCTCACATGGGGAAGGCCAATGTGAACATGGCAAAGCGGCGCCCTCACATGGGGAAGGCCAATGTGAACATGGCGAAGCGGCGCCCTCACATGGGGAAGGCCAATGTGAACATGGCAAAGCGGCACCCTCGAATGGGGAAGGCCAATGTGAACGCAAAGCGGCTCACATGGGGAAGGCCAATGTGAACATGGCGAAGCGGCGCCCTCACATGGGGAAGGCCACTGTGAACATGGCGAAGCGGCGCCCTCACATGGGGAAGGCCAATGTGAACATGGCGAAGCGGCGCCCTCACATGGGGAAGGCCAATGCGAACATGGCGAAGCGGCGCCCTCACATGGGGAAGGCCAATGTGAACATGGCGAAGCGGCGCCCTCTGATCCCTGGGAGCTGCTATTAAACATCAATAATTATCATGGCCTTCTTTTCTTTCTCACGTTGTATTTTTATATAAATATGAGCGTTATGAATTATTATCTACATTCTGCAACTTTGAATGCGACACACCGGATTTTGCCCACTAGCTCCAAGCAATAGAAGGACATATGTGACATCATGTGCGGACTTACCATGGAACACAATGGTGACACCACGTCCTCAGATGGACACTTTGTGCAGTTTGGCACACTTACCTTTCTTTTTTTTTTTTTAAGCAAAATAAATTTTTTTCGCATTTTTCAGCATTAGTTATGATTAATTATGATTTCTTATGAAATATTTTCTAAAATGTTTGTAATAGTTTCAATAAAAAAATGAAGAACCAACTTGGAAGTGATTCCTGAAACCTGTGTTGGTGAAATTGAAGTGATTGTAAAGTTGCAATTTTTTTTTTTTTAAATAACAAACATGTTATACTTCCTGGGCTAGAGATGTGCACAATGGAAACATTTGTTTCATTTCAGATTCTTTTGTTATGTTAAAAAGTCCATTTGGTCATATTCGTTATGTTTGAATGATTCGTTTTCAGAATTCATTTAGTATATTTGTTATTTCAAGGAGAGGAGAAGTGGCGGAGAGGAAAGAGCTGGGAGGAGGTGAGCTGTGTTGTGTTCTCTGGGCTGTCCCTCCTGTCATCCATCCAGCACATAAGACACTGATAGATCGTATGGGACTGCACACACACAGTATGATTACCACCCCCCACCCACATTTCCTGCTGCCCGGAGATCAGCAGCCCTTGGAGGAGGTAGGGGGTGATAATCATACTGTGTGTGTAGTCCCATATGATCTGAGAGAGAGAAAGGGGGGGGGGTGAGAGGGAGAGAGAGAGAGAGGGAGGAGGCGAGAGAGAGAGGGGGAGAGAGGGAATAGAGAGAGGGGAGAGAGAGAAGGGGGAGAGAGGGGAGGAAAGTGAAGAGAGGGGGGGAGAGAGAGAGAGGGGGGGGGAGAGAGGGGAGGAAAGTGAAGAGGGGGGGGAGAGGGGGGGGGGGAGAGGGGAGGAAAGTGAAGAAGAGAGGTGGGGGGGGAGAGAGGGAAGAGGTGGGGAGAAGGAGAGGGGGGGGAGAGAAGGGGGGGAGGGGGAGGAAAGTGAAGAGAGAGAAGAGAGAAAGCGAGAGGGGGAGAGAGGGGGGAAGAAAGGCAAAAGAAGGGGGGGAGAGGGAAGGGAGAGAGAGAGAGGGGAGGAAAGAGAAGAGAGAGAGGGGGGAGAGAGAGGGAAGAGAAAGTGGGGGAGAAGGAGAGGGGGGGGGGGGGGGGGGAGAGAAAGAAAGTCTCCTCCTGCAAGCTGCGTGGTGTGTTCATGTATGCTCGCTCCTGAGCCAGCTCTGTGTCCATAAGACACAAAGAGCACAGCTCGGCCCCGCCACCCTCACCTTCCTCATTGGCTGTGTCTGAGCCAATGAGGATGGAGAGAGCTTCTGCTCTTGTGCACAGCGCTGAATCAAGACCACGCTCAGGTAAGTACCTTCACACATAGAATTCAGCCTTTAAAACCACATCACACCTCTCTTAACACTCCGTGGCATACAGGTAGCATTTTTACTTACTTCCAGGTAGTGCGGCGTGACGTCATTGGGTCCTCCCTATGCGCTACGTCATCATACCACGTGCCTGTGTCAGGGGAAGTCACATAATATAATATAAAGGTTGCCATAGTGTGTTGAATTTTAAAGAAAAAATACAGCGGCTGGAGTTTGAAAAGGAAATGTCTTTTTTAAATAACATTCAAATTACAAAATGTCTCGTGTAGCAATTGTTTGTTTATGTTACTTTTTTTTTTATTTGCTTTTTTTTTCTCCATGAAAGTGGAGTTACCATTTAAAGCCCACCTTTTTCCTGCCACACTTAGGTGTCATGTGGACAAGTTAAAGTACCTTATTTACACTATATTGCCAAAAGTATTGCCCCGCCCTCCAAATCATGTGATTCAGGTGTTCCAATCCCCTCCACATCATGTGATTCAGGTGTTACAATCCCCCCATAGGCATGTGATTCAGGTTTCCAAACCCCTCTCAGGATCATGTGATTCCAGGTGTTCCAAACCCACCTGGGCATAAGTCATGTGATTCAGGTGTTCCAATTCCCTCAATATCATGTGGATTCAGGTGTTTCAAACCCCTCCATATCATGTGATTCAGGTGTTCCATCCCCCCCATATCATGTGATTCAGGTGTTCCTAACCCCTCCATATCATGTGATTCAGGTGTTCCAAACCCCTCCATATCATGTGATTCAGGTGTCCCAATCCCCTCCATATCGGGTGCTCCAATCCCCTCCATGGACACAGGTGTAATACAATCAAGCCCCTAGGCATGCAGACGGCTTCTTTCTACAAACAATTGGTGAAAGAATGGGTCGCTGGCTCAGGAGCTCAGTGACTCCAAGCGTGGAGTCCCGTGATAGGTGTGCCACCTGGGCAATAAGTCCATCCGTGACTTTCCCTGGCTACTAAATATTCCACGCCAACTGTTAGTGGGATTATAACAAATGTGGGGCAGGGAGCCACTGGGAACAAACAGCCCTCAGCCACCAAGTGGTAGGCCACGTCACATGACAGGGCGGGGACAGCGCATGCTGAAGCGCACAGTGCGCAGAAGTCGCCAGTGTGCTGCAGAGTCAACAGCTAATTAGACCTCAAACTTGGTTCGTGGCCTTCAGATGAGCCCAACAACAGTGCGTTAGAGAGCTTCATGTTGCGAATGGGTTTCCATGGCCGAGCAGCTGCATCCAAGCCTTCCATCACCAAGTGCAATGCAAAGTGTCGGATGCCGTGGTGTAAAGCACACCGCCACTGGACTCTAGAGCAGTGGAGACGTGTTCTCTGGAGTGACCAATCACGCTTCTCTGTCTGACAATCCGATGGATGTGTCTGGGTTTGGCGGTTGCCAGGAGAACGGTATTTGCCTGACTGTATTGTGCCAGTGTAAAGTTTGGTGGAGGGGGGATGATGGTGTGGGGTTGTTTTTCAGAAGTTGGGCTTGGCCCCCTAGTTCCAGTGAAGGGAACTCTTAAGGCGAACATTTTAGAACAATTTCATGCCCCCAACTTTGTGGGAAGAGTTTGGGGATGGCCCCTTCCTGTTCCAACATGACTGCCTCCAGTGCACAAAGCAAGGTCCATAAAGACATGGAGGAGCCAGTTTGGGGTGGAGGAACTTGACTGTCCTGCACAGAGTCCTGACCTCAACCCCATAGAACACCTTTGGGATGAATTAGAGCAGAGACTGCGAGCCAGGCCTCCTCCCCCGACATCAGTGCCTGACCTGACAAATGTGCTTCTGGAAGAATGGTCCAACCTTCCCATAGACACCCTCCTAAACCTTGTGGACGGCCTTCCCAGAAGAGTTGAAGCTGTTATAGCTGCAAAGGGCGGGGCCAACTCAATATTGAACCCTACGGACTAAGACTGGGGGGCATTAAAGGTCATGTGTGTGGAAAGGGCGGGGCCAACTCAATATTGAACCCTACGGACTAAGACTGGGGGCCATGAAAGGTCATGTGCGTGGAAAGGGCGGGGCCAACTCAATATTGAACCCTACGGACTAAGACTGGGGGGCCATTAAAGGTCATGTGTGTGGAAAGGGCGGGGCCAACTCAGGAACCCTACGGACTAAGGGGAGCCATTAAAGGTCATGTGTGTGGAAAGGGCGGGGCCAACTCAGTATTGAACCCTACGGACTGAGACTGGGGGGCAGTAAAGGTCATGTGCGGGAAAGGGCCGGCGGCCCCATACTTTCGGCACATAGTGTGGGTGTCGGTGCTTTTATTTGCACTTCACTTGTCTGCGGGTGAGTAATTTCGCACTAATAATGTACCGCAGGTGGGAAAATATTCAGTTTCCTGTCTGTGGTTTTGAAGGAAACACTTGTTTCTTGTACATAGATAATCGTTTCTTCATGTTGTCATCGTTTCACATCTTCTACATTTCTCCAAAAATAAATGAGGCGATCCACAGTCTCCAGTACGCTGAATCATTAAAGCTTTTTTTGGAAGGGCTATTTCTGATGCAAAAAAAAAAATATCGTTAAAGGGTAACTCCACTTTCGTGGAAATAAAAAGATAAATGAAAAAAAAAATGTATAACATACAATGGCTGCACAAGTTGTAATTGAACATTATAGAACGTTTTACCATCAATTTTCTGTAAAATGCAATATGGCCGTGTTCTGTACACAGATGGTATGGAGACCCCCCCAGAGATGTCATTTCCTGCTGTGTGATTGGCTCACTGATTTTCCCAGAAGTCTGCACTAAGATACAAGTCAAATTTTGGGCACCCCCTGCAGCAAAAAATGTCATTTTGGGTGAGATGCTCCCAAAGGGAAATCACTTCTAAAGGGATGCAGACCCCGCCGCTTTCCTCAGAGTGCAGCAGCTGATTGATCATTATAAAGTCGCTCCCATTCACATTCACTCTGCACAGGACACAGAGAAAAACAAACAGATATTTCTTCAGAATAACAAAAGGGAAGAATCTGCAACAAAGTTTGTTGAAATCCCTGCGATGTGCATCGCTCACCCCAGGGGGAGGGGGGGGGGGGGTTCTCAACATAAGTGGAGTTACCCTTTAAATGCATTTGAACTAAGACTCCAGGCACCACTTCACAGACCATTCTAAATTTCAGCTCTCAGGGGGGGCTTCAAGTGTCAAACCAAAAATGTTGGATTGCATCTGTTTGGAAGTTTGCTTGCCGAATTTTACAAATCCCCTCAAAGTGGGGCAATGTGATAGGTGAAGGCTCAGCCAATCCCATTAGGACTACCAACGGAAGAAAGCGATGATTGGATACATTAGCAATGACCATGCAGCCCACTTGATTTGAGAGTTGTAGCAGGAGGCGCGTCAGACCTCTGCGGAGGGACCGCTGCTTCCACAGAGCCCTGCTGGCGGGAGATAGGCTTTTCTACTCTGGTTGTGGCTGCTTTGTGAAGAAAAACAACAAGACTTTGACCACCTTTTGTA